TCTAAAAGAATTGTGTAATTTGTGGCTGCCAGTATGTAAGTAACAATCATAAATTGTATAGATATAATAATAGGGTGAATAGCATTGTGGGCATACCAAATGTATTACAATTTCAAACGCCACGTGTCATTTGTTGTAGTTCATACAGCCAGACTAAACAGATAATAGCTAAAAGGGTCAAGAAACATATAATTTCAGTGAAAAATCATCAAAATAACTAATCACTGATTGCAGAACATTTACTGGAAGCGAGTACCAACTATTGGATTTAGTTTTAACGTCAACAAATTCTTTTCACGAAATAGGTTTCTATTCAAGAATAGCATATGAAGCGTCGGAAATCAAGAAATATAAAACGTTCAATCGAGAAGACCGTTTTAAACTATCCGCGACTTGGAATCTAGTAATCTAAAAAACATTTCCTCGCTATAGTGTGCAGATGGTAAATGTATTGAATAAAGACACGGTCAGAGTTATGGTGCAGAAATCCTCAATATAGTGACACTATTTGTCTGATGTATGACAATGAGTGGATAAAAGTAAATACCTACTTTTATATTCAGAAGTGGAGGCGTGACAGCGCTACATCGGTCTACTTGTATCCAAGGCTGGTGTAATCTGGTTGAAACGTCGAGATAGCTCAGGTAAATTATCATACGAGTAAGTGACCCAAATAGGACCTAATCGTTTTAATTCCTGTCTGTTATAAACTAGTGTAGATTACTAGTATAGATATACATTCGCTAGGATTAGTAAAACGAAAATACGAAAATAGATTGGATTAAGATTACTTCAGGTGTTCGGATGTGTCTTATTAATGCATATTGTTAGATTTTGAATATAGTACCAGGAAAGCCATATTCCAGCACATATATACATCATATGGGTTTTTGTGTTAATGTTGCGAGTAGATAGATACTTTATTCAATTCGATATGGGTATAATGACAAATTTGCATGAATTGATAAATACATATGGCAATTATTAATCTTTATTGAAAATACGATTAAATTATGATAAACATAATAATTAGTATTTTTGTTATAAATGTAGTATTATAATTTTAATATGTTTATGCCTACTATATCATAGGATATTAGTGATTAGTATAGTGCAAATAATAAATCGCTTAAAAATACTGTTAAGTATATCTTTGCAAGTGAAATTTTTGAATTATTTGACATTAAATTATTTTTTTACTGAAATTAAATCAAGATAGCGGCATTTTACAATATATTCGTATATACTAATTTAAAATTATATTGAACACATTAAAAATATCTGTGTCAGGTTATTAAGGCCTTTAACGAGGGTTATAAAATGATACGTAGGTATTTGGCCAGAAATTCATTGATAAAAGTGCAATGTGTTCGTTATTAATTTTATGCATATTATGTAGGTAGCTACCTTTCTCACACAAGCTCTCTCCAATATATTGAGATCAGTAAGAGCTTTTATGAGTGGGTACCAATTGTAAATTAATTTATTAAGCGACTTTTCAAAGGAGGAGTTTCTCAATTCGCTTTCATTTTAATCTGTGTTTATTGTCTGCCAAATCTAAATAGACTTCGAACTTCTTAATTTTGGTGCTCTTGTTGTAAATGTTGTTTTTACAAAGTAAAATCTTTAAATCGCTAATTTATACTTATTTATTTTTCGTCTATCAAACCGAACGTCACATATACATGTATTTTGTATAGCCATTTTATATGTACTTGCACGATTATACCACATACTCATAAATTAGTTTTTTTTACTGTATAAAACAAATATTAATTAAGTTGCAGTTAAAAGTACACTGTAATTGCTAACGCGAAGCCATTGGCGTCACATATAATAGTCAGTACGGAGTAATTGAATCCTACACAAATAAAAATAGATCGAGACATGCCGTGTGCAGTGTAATTTAAGATTTTCATCGCGCAGATAATGAGTACCAATGCGAATCAACATTAACTTTCACTCTTGAATCAAAGTCTGGCGGCCTTAAATTCTCCTTTGGGAAACCGCAGGAAGTAAGATTAAAAAGGCCGCTTTGTATTTTTACATATGTTTTTTTTTTTTATTAGATAGAAGCCATTCATTGATAATAAGGCGTGAAAAGAAACTACCATTTTATTAGTCGAGTAGCGACCATTTCACATATCAGTTTTATGTGGACCAAATGGGTCCTAACCAATATTCGTCGATGGATTTGCCAAATTGCCATTACTGATTGTATAGCTTCTGATATAGCTGTACTATGGGAAATATAAGTAAAAAATATCTGTTACTAATTGTAGTTTGCTTATATACAAACAAGGAAGCGCGTTCTTTATTAGGTTACATTAAAATTAATTTCATGTTTTTATTATGATCTGTACATAATACTAATGTGTGAAGCGGCACCAAGTCCACCACATCGCTTTTAGAACTGATAACTAATGGAAAAGAAAGATTCTTTAGTGGTAAATCTGTACAGGTAAACTAAGTGTAGATCTGCAGTATACTAGAAGATACGACAATTTAAAATACGAGTATGTTGCAGATAGTCCGTGAGTGAGGTGAAATCGTTGTCTGCTGAGTTTACGATGGAAAGCTAAATTTATCACTGGACAAATTGACCAAAATTATGATGACACGCATTTTATACACCTAGTTACTATTAAAAAATGGGAATTTATTACTACTTTACACATTGTTCTTTGGTCTGCAAAGAATAATTGTGACTTTAATCGTTATAATATTAATCTAGGATTTACACGAAAATACACCATATATATTATAAAACTAAAGATCAAAATAACTTTAGAATTGGCGACATAAATATAGTATATACACAAATGTATATAGCAAAAATACAGAGAAATTAAAAACCTCTTTTTTTGCGAATTTTTTTTTTTTTTTTTTATTTTACAACACAGGGGGCAAACGAGCTAGCGGCTCACCTGATGGTAAGTGACTACCGCCGCCCATGATCACCCACAACACCAGCGGCATTGCAGGTGTGCTGCCGGCCTTTTAAAAAGGAATATACTCTTTTCTTGAAGGTTATGTCGTATCGGTTCGGAAATACTGCTGCTGGAAGTTGATTCCAAAGAATGGTTGTGCGTGGAAGAAAGTGCCTTGAAAAACGCACGGTGGAAGACCGCGACTCGTCCAGATGATTGGGATGAAACTTTAGTTTGTGGCGGGTTGTACGGTGGTGAAAATCAGCAGCAGGTATCAATCCGAACAATTCCTCAGAACACTCCCCATAATAAATTCGGTAGAAGATGCACAGAGATGCAACATCTCTGCGCAGTTTCAGTGGATCAAGTCGGACAGTAAGACGTTGACTATCGATAATTCGAGCCGCCCGACTCTGAATGCGGTCTAACGGAAGGAGTTGGTACTGTGGCGCTCCTGCCCACAGGTGAGAACAGTATTCCATATGCGGCCTGACTTGAGCTTTATATAATTTCAGGCGGTGTTCTGGCATGAAATATCGTCTCACCCTATTGAGCACTCCTAACTTTTTGGAAGCTATCTTAGCCTTCTCCTCCAGATGACCGCAAAACTGGACGTCGCAAGATATATCAACGCCCAGAATTCCTAGACTCGACTTTTTATCAAGGGAAGTGCCCTGAAAATGAGGAGATACGACAAACGGCGTCTTTTTTGCGGTAAACGCGCAGACTTGTGTCTTTTTGGGGTTAAATTGGACAATTAATTGATTTAGATTTAAAAACATTGCCCTTCTAAATTGCATAGAAATGGCTTTTGTATATCCTAATTTGATAGTAAAGTAACATACAAAATTTTAACCTAATATTTTTTACTGGACTTCACTAATTCTAAATACATGAACATTTGTTAACACATACTTCAATGCCATTTTACAGGAAGAAAGAAAATATTTTCTCACATCAAGTGCATGTTTGTTCCGCATTCATTTTATTTTCTCGTTCACATGTCAACTATGCGCGAATGTGCGAAAATAGTTAGTGAGCGTAGCAAAGAAGCGTCGCAAACAGTATTCTACACCATTCGTATGTAAAATGAACCATTCATTAATGGAGAAAAGGAATTAATGAATGAAACGTACATGTATGTACCTACATCGTTTACTATTAGCACCGAGTACATCGTACTTACACACTCAACAATCCATGGTATTGAACTTTTTTTATTAATTTGTAAATACAATATTAGTCATTAATCATAAAGCCTGATTTTTTAATAACGTAATCGAGAGGCGAGTAATTTAGTAACTAAACATGGATAAACAAGAAAGTTTTAGTTAATTGTAGTGCAATAGAGTAAATACTTTATATTATTCAGACACGTACTTAATCGCGTTTAAAGTAGTTATATTAATGAATATAGTCCAACAGGATGAACATAATAGGAAGTATAATAGGAAAGACAATATGTTGCTTTATACGATACAACGATTATTTAATCAATATCTTGAAAGGAAAGATAAAAGAAAAAAGGGAAGGGAAGATCAAGAAATATATAAATTAAAAATAAAAAGGCGACATCGTATAGGAAAGTCAGTAAAATGATTTGAAGAGTAGAGAATATAGCGTCAATTGGAGAAAGGCTATAAATAGGAGCCCCTATAATAGAAAATTATAAAATTGCAAAGAAAGAAATGTATAGTAGTTATTGGATGTAAAAGAGCAGGTTATTTTATATTTTACTTTATTTTAAAATGAAAACATTTACTGATCTTAACTAGGGTTTCAGTATAATAATGCTAATCATATTGGCTCCTTTCTGTGGTCCTGCTATGTTCCAGAGCACCTCAGTTTTGCTAACTTGGTAAATTGCAGCATTCAGCTCCGGGCGCTTTATTGAAAATTCTATCTTTCTGTTACTGCGAGAATGGGATTAAAGAAAGCTGGATTATGTATTTTACGTATTGGTATTATGGTCTAATGCTGTTTGTCACCTGTGCTGGTGCGAGTCCGTTATCCGGCGTCAGGTTACGGTCACGTCTATATAAGACCGCGGCGTCTTCTTCACCATTTCATTCTGTTTAAGACTCCAGGCCGGTTGTGTACGTGTGTCTACAGCATTAAGCTGTTCGAGCATTCGTGCCGGTGTACGGTCGCCCTTAGTTGTCGTTTACTCGGTTAGGGATCAGTGCTCGCGCGTTCGTAAACTTGGGACATTGTTAAGTTTCGTGTCAATTCTTGAACATTATTACATAAAATAGTTGAAGACAGTGAAATAAGCTATTCTACTCAGGTATGCTTTTGACATTCTATAATATTATATTACAATTAATTATTGTATGAATACTTAATATAGAATACAATGATAATAATTATTTAATTTACTTTTTGCACTTTATTAAAAAAATGTATTATATTGCAATATTATACATTAACTTAACTAAATTAATTTACTTGCTATATATGTACTACAGTATCTAGTATATATATACTATAAATGTAAGTATTTATAAACCACGAGATTTATTTTCTTTATAATATAGATATGTTTTAGCAGCAACCTACTACATCTGTGATGTATCTATTAATAATAATTGTCAATAATCACAAGTCGATCGTAAACGTTAGTTACTATCTTTAATGAAAACAAAATCGGTCCTTTATAAGTTTTTATATTTGAACTGTCATTTTGGCGCCGACGCTTCGAAAAATATTGGAATATAAATTGTGATACAATATTGCTTAAGTTCAGTCACCTACCACCTACCAAGCAGGTATTTTAAATCATTATGAATATATTTGTCTATACTTTATGATTTACTGAAACATTTTTATTGGGATATATTGTTAATATTTATGACAGTTTATGGCGACTTTTGTGTACCTCTAACAATTCTATAATTAGGAGAAATATAAAGACACCCCTTACATAAAAATTGACGAAGTCGGACGGTGATAGATATGCACATCTAAAACATTGCTCTCAACTTGGTAGTAATGTAAAATTATAAACAAATAATAAATTTAAACAAATAGGTATGTGTTGTTTTACTATAAATGGATTTAATTTAAAGAAATGGAATAGAATAGAAAATATTTATTGCCCACAAAATAATTTCATAAAATGTGAGTACACAACCATAATTACAAAAGAGAAAAAAAGTTACCAAAGGGTCCTTATTTCAGCATTAAGCCACTAACAACAGATGCATTACCCACTGTTGATAGCGCCGATATTTTGATAGGTGCCAATAGATTTATAACAGTAATATTGTGTCATTCTTTTTAAATACCGATGGTTGTGGCTAAATACATCATCATTATTCCAGATTGTTTCCAATTGTTTGGAGGTCAGAGCATTTTTCACTTACATTGTTCCTTCTTTTCCTTGATTTTAGTATTTTTTTTTGTTTATATATTGTCATATAATCTGTATCATTCTTTCAGAGAAACAGTGAAAAGTTTTTCATTAATTCATTCATTTATATCTGATGATTGACATCTTACTTGTTCCATATCTAACACTGAAGTTTTTTTAATTTACTCCGTCTATTGTCTTTAAAATTTCCATTAATATACATTGAAGGGCTACAATTACTAAATTATGGCGACACGATCTAATCGTTTTATCCGCTGTGTTTAGTCTTATACTGCGTCAGCGCAAGTATTGAAGCGCCGATGGTAAAATGATTACCGTCATTACAGACGAATTACTGAGGAGTCGCCTCAGCATTACTTATACATAATATATGCGCTCGCGTGAGATACCAATGGTCTATTAGTTTGGTTTTTTTATATATAGCTACTAAAATTTCAACTTATAAATGGAGTTACTGTTTGCATATTAAATTTTTAAAAAATATAATGACAGTCTTTGCTTTTTTACATATTTAAATAAATGTGGTTAATAGCTCATTTCCTGTTTTACCGACGAAGTCGATGATCCCAATTACATGAACTAAGTCACATCGTACATTTAGTAGATCTACAAAAGTCTATCGGATTTGATAATTTCATTACTGTTACGCTTAAAATCAAATTTGACATTCATATAGCAGCAGGCAATTATTAAAATAATTTAGGCGCGTGAATTTGTCTATGTCTATGGATGTCTATTCGTATATGGATGATATCGGGGATTAAGTTTATATAAGAATTCAATAATTTCAAACTAAAGCTTCAAATATTATATTTGAAGTAATTCACACAATTAACGTTGTGAGAACTTAGATTTGTAATCTTTGGTAGCGCAAAACAATGGACATGCATTGTTCTTAGAGACATGTGTTTTTTTATTTGTTTTCCGTAATTTTAAAATCGTAGTTCTTGAATAATCACAATAGGTACTTTTGCACGGAATTTTAAATCGGATAATTAACGTGATTTATTAATTAAGAAATGAATATATCTCTGTGTCTAATTATTTGTTACCTCTATAAAATTAATATAGTATTATGTATTATTGATTTCTATAATTAGATGGATGCGAAAGCAAAAATATATCTGCATTGCCAAATAAATAACTATTTATAATACCTATACTTAGCTTGATCAATTTAGGTGAGTAGTCACATAAGTAAATTTTCTTCTTAAAAAAAGTTGACAATATTAAAAATGTTAACAATATAAATAAATAATTAATACGACAAAGTGCGATTGTTAGATTACACTGATCTACACAAACTTGCAATTAATAAAACGATATTAAACGATGGTTTCAAGTAAGAATTCTACTCCTATTATTTAAGAGATTAGATTCTACGAACAAATAGTCTGTTCACGTTTTGCAAAATAATCTCATTATTTGGTTGGCTTAGGATATAATTTTCCAAGTAATGGATTAACAATGTTCAAAATTTTATAGTTATGAATCTGTATCAAATTGAAAGCGTGTATATTTGTGATATAGTTTGTAGAGATGCACTAAACGTACCAGCGTTCTAAGACTTGTTTGAAATCAGGTTTTATTTATAGATAGGTTGGTGTCGTCGCTCAGTACAGGATGCAAGTTATTAAAACTTAATAACTTGGTCTGCTACAATGAGAAGCATGCAAAATAGGTTTTAATTGTTATTTTTCTGGTTGTATATTGCTACTCTTCTGAGTGTACCCTCTTTGACATGACTTAGGGTTAACATCTGTTTATTTATTGTTGACAGGTCAAAACATTAAAATATTACAAGTTTAAAGATTTTCGAATATTTGAACAACGTAACATAGAAATATATATTGATTAGCTTTAATTTAAAAAAGTGATTAAATATTTAATAGGTATAATGAAGAATATCAGGATTAAATATGACTTAAACCTGGTCAATGTATTAACAATAAAGCAACTCTTATTCTAAATGTTAAGAATAGTATAAAGGCTGACTACTGTTTTAAAATTTTAATGCGATCAAATGTAAATGCCTTTCTTCTAAACATTGTTGTAATAACAAAGAAATCAATGTACTGTCTACAGTATGAGGATACGCATGAGTTCCTCGCATTCTCCTTGACCCCTCATACAGGGCAAGTCCATGTAATAAAGCATTAAGTGTTATGTGCTAATATGCCCATTTAATTTAAAATATCCTTATTGCAATAAATATAAGGTTAAAAATGAATCCGCTGAAACAAAATATTTTGTAAGGAAGTCGGTAATCTTGGGATGCAAACCTCTGAACGTTTATATATAATTCAGTATGTTTTAACGATAAGAATATAGGTAATTACATTTTCATTGAGTTAACTAAAAAATGTTCTAATTTAATTTTGAATACAGATCGTTTCATACTTACATTTTTCCGTCGTCTTTTTTGCGGTATTCATTATAAACTGAATTAACATTATTCTTTAATAATTATATTTTTATTTCCATATTCTCATCTATTTTTAAATGTATATGTGTTTAGATATTTTGTTTATTTTTAATAGCATAGCTAATATTATTTAGAATAAATGATATCTTTAGAAATATATTCTGTAATATAAAAACTTAATTCATATATTTTTTATTATTTATTCCAAATTCCAAATTGATGGATACTAAAAATAATTAATAGATAAAAAAATTAATAACTTACGCATTTTTAACTCGTAGATTTTTGTCAATGATAAGGAATTCGTTAAATAATTTACTGGATAGTAGAGTTAAAAAATAATTGATGTGCATAAGTGAGCAAAAATGGTCTATTTGAATAAATGATTTTGATTTTAATCTGTCATAATTCTCTTAATTTACTACATACATTTTATAACTTCCAATGAAACTGCTATTAAATGATGCAAGTTGAAATGCGTGAAGACTTTCCAAGAGCGAACTTTTTGCGCGAGTTAAAGTTAGATTCCCGTGGGATACACGTCTTGATTTACGGCAGGTGAAGATACACCGGTTACAGAATAATACATATGTTAGTAGATCTATCTTTAAGTAACAATGGATGTGATAATATAAAAAAATGTATTGTTGAATAAAATTGATCGACAAAATAAAATATAATCAATGTTATCAATCTAAAACAACATATTTTTTGCACTCTTTCATTATATTAGGTGTCATAGATTTGATTAAAAACAATATTATTCCAATTTTCTATTGGTAAGGATAAATACTAGTGATAAGATGATGCAAAAAGTAAATTCGCTATCAAACAAGAATGATTTGCGATCAATGGCCGGTCGGCGTCATTGGCCGAATGTCGTAAGGCGTTACGGCAAAAACACAAGTATGATAACCGCATGCGTGGGCGCATAACCAGTTGGGAGTTTTTTTGCGGCCAAGTGCAGGCGGCCTTGACCGGGTGCCGCCAAATCACTGATCGGCCCACTTAATATGATACATGATGATATAAATAACTAGACTAAGAGTTAAAAAGACTCAGTCTCAATAACTTGGTTTATTTATTTTTTATTGCACGACGAAATTTGTACGAATGACTACTTTAATGTCTTATTAGCACTATGTAGAATCCAATTATTAGGTAAAATAAAATGTTATCAAGGCGTAGTAGTAGCAAAAATTTATGACATGTATAACAGGAACAGTAAAATATTATATGTAAGTAAAATATTACATACCAGCTTTTACCCGTTACTTTGTCCGTGTGACCAGAATATGTTCATTGACTGGGATAAAAAGTAGCCTATAACCTTCTCAATGCCATATTATTATACGGTTATTGGTTAAGCCGTTAAGGCGCTATAAGTCAACAAATAAACAAATAAATTCCCTTTCCCATATATAATATATATTAGTAAGGATTAGCTTTTGTCTGAAACTTTTTATAATTTGGATTTTAAAAGGTAACT